AAAAAATATATAGATGTGTGTTATTTTGTTCTAACTGTATTGTGATATTAATATATATATTTATATCAAAATACACGTAGAACGAAATAATATATATCTATATACATAAATATATACGTATATATCCCTATATATATACACACCTATATATAAATAAATAAAAAATATATATATACATACACACACACATATATATATATATATATATATATATATATACACACACATACATACATATATTAATTCTACATATATATTTATGTAATATTTTTACATAATTAAGTATTTTAATTAATTATAATTAGCGGGACCTGCCTGACAACCCATGCCGAAAGTATAAGGAATTTAATTTGCTGGCACTAAATTTAACCATATAACATTCCAAGACACCATAAAACCTGTACATGGGGGGTACTGTTTTACTCGGGAAACTTCGCAGAACACAAATATTAGTGTTTCAAAACAGTAAAATATATTACAACGATGATATCACCAGTAAAAGTGACGTTTTTTGCATTGTTCACACACAAACAGCACTTACACGGACAATATTATTGCTGTGATACTTTTTACTGTTTTGAAACACAAATATTTGTGTTCAGTGAAGTCTCCCGAGTACAACAATACCCCTCATGTACAGATTGTATGGTGTTTTCAAAAGTTACAGTGTCAAATATAAGGCTTGTGTTTCATTTTTTTCACATTAAAATTCGCCAGATTGGTTACGTTGCCTTTGAGACCCTATGGTAGCCCAAGAATGAAAATTATCCCTATGATGGAATACCCTTTGCAATAGTAGACAACCCAAGGTATTGCAAATGGAATGCCATTATGGGTGTAAATTTCATTCCTGGGCTACTATACAGTCTTAAAGGCAACGTGACCAATCTGGCGAATTTCAATTTCAAATGTAACATGCTATTTTTGACCCTGTAACTTCCCAAAACACCATAAAACCTGTACATAGGGGGTACTGTTTTACACGTGAGACTTTGCTGAATACAAATATGTGTATTTTTTTCATATTAAATTATGTTTCATAGCTAAATATTTGTTATTAAATGAAAGCCCTGTTTCCCCTGAATAAAATGATATATAATAACTGTGGGTGAATTTAATATGAAAGAGGTGAATTACGGTTGGACAGACATGTAGCGCAAATGCCAGGTTTTGTTTATGTTTTGTTTTGTTCACAACGTGTACATTTTGCTCAGTCCTTAAAGGGTTAGGAATTACAAGATTAGCGGCAGCATCAGCATGGGGCTATGGGGGCAAAAAAAACGCCTTGTGGTGACAACGGAGGCACAGGTAAATGGGCCATAATTATATGTGTCTAGCATAAAATACATGTGGCATATCTGTCGATGGAGTTATGCTAGGTATAGTGGTAATAGGCTAGTATTTGTATCAGAGAAAACCATGTTTGATTGAGCTGCATTAGTATGCCGTACATATTATAATTGCTGTATAACAAGCTGCGTAAAGTAAAGTATGCAGAGAAGGAGAGCGCTCTGTGAGAGTTGGAGCATAGAGTGCGAGAAAAGTACTTGTTAATGTACTGCTATCAGAGTGTGTTGCGTGGAAGTCCATAACTTGGATGAAATTAGGTCTACTGAGCTTCTCTCAGCCTATGCCCACTGATGGCATGTCACATTCCCATCCTATGGCGTTGGTCACAGGGTCATGTGTTAGGAAGGCTGGTGTTCCTTGATGGCAGGATATTCGATGTACAATATGCAGTGTTCTGCTCAGTGCCTCAGCCTGTCTGGGTGCTCCCTGTCCCGACTTAATGGAGTCACGTTTCAGCCCGGGTGCTGCTGGTCTCTGTCTTCGCTGCTTCGTTTTGCGCTTAAGCAGGGGGCAGCGCTTCTTTCTCCGCTATTTTGGGGCCTTCACTTTTTTTGCGTGGACTGAGGGCATCTGCTGGGTATGTGGTGCTGCTCTGCGGGATAGATATGTCCTAGCTTGTATTGGGCCACTGTGTAGCGTCCTCTGCTCCAGTTTGCACCAAAATTCATTGAAGATTCATTGCAGCCTGGTGTGTATATCAGGCTGGGCAGCGCTGGAGTCCTGGGGCCACGCCATGTCCACCATGATGGGTGAGTTGCCGCTTGTACTAGCCTCTCCATTTGTTTGCTGAGTGGGCTTTGTGGCAGCCATATTGGGCCCTTTGTGTGGCTCTCTGCTTGGCGGGATAGTCACTTGTTGCAGGTAGGTATGATTCTCCAGTGGGGACCGGGATATCCCCCACCAATCCACGGGGGGGTAGCGGGGAGATCGGAGAGCTGTTGTGCGTTGCGGACCTAACCTCAAGAGATCGGCCGCCTCCCCCGGCAATCAGTTCACTTTTCATGCTAGGCCTCAAACACAGATCGCGGTGATTCGGCATTAATAGTCGCTTGTGTGGCATCAAAATGATCAGTGTCGCTTTGCCTGTCGAGTGGTCGCCCGTTTGTAGCTTTGCTGGTCCAATTTGTGCCGTTTCACCTTAGTTTGTGGCTTTCTGAGCAGGAGCTGTGCCTACATGCGTCTGCTCAGCTCAGAGCTCAGGCCCCGCCCCCAGTATATAATTTTAATGGTAGGTGTATTTTGACAGTGAGAGACAGAATAACAAAACAAGAAATCCAGAAAAACGCATGTCAAAAAGTTATACATCGATTTGCATGTCAATGAGTGAAATAAGTATTTGATCCCCTATCAAGCAGCAAGATTTATGGCTCCCAGGTGCTCCTAATCTCAGCTTGTTACCTGTATAAAAGACACCTGTCTACAGAAGCAATCAATCGATAAGATACCAAACTCTCCACCATGGCCAAGACCAAAGAGCTGTCCAAGGATGTCAGGGACAAGATTGTAGAATGGGATTGGGCTACAAGACCATCGCCAAGCAGCTTCGTGAGAATTTGACAACAGTTGGTGCGATTATTCGCAAATGGAAGAAAATGACTGAGTCCCCCTCGGTCTGGTGCTCCATGCAAGATCTCACCTTGTGGAGTTTCAATGATCATGAGAACAGTGAGGAATCAGCCCAGAACTACACGGGAGGATATTGTTAATGATCTCAAGGCAGCTGGGACCACAGTCACCAAGAAAACAATCAGTAACACACTACGCCGTGAAGGACTGAAATCCTAGAGCGCCCGCAAGGTCCCCCTGCTCAAGAAAGCACATGTACAGTGAACATGTACTGATGTTTGCAAATGAATATCTGAATGATTCAGAGGAGAACTGGGTGAAAGTGTTGTGGTCAGATGAGACCAAAATCAAGCTCTTTGGCATCAACTCAACTCACCGTGTTTGGAGGAGGAGATATGCTGCCTTTGGCCCGAAGAACACAATCCCCACCGTCAATCATGGAGGTGGAAACATTATGCTTTGGGGGTGTTTTTCTGCAAAGGGGATAGGATAACTGCACTGCATCAAAGGGATGATGGAAAGGAGTATGTACTGTCAAATCTTGGGGGAGAACCTCCTTCCCTCAGCCAGGGCATTAAAAATGGGTTGTAGATGGGTATTCCAGCATGAAAATGACTCAAAACACACAGCCAAGGCAACAAAGGAGTGGCTCAAGAAGAAGCACATTAAGGTCCTGGAGTGGCATAGCCAGTCTACAGACCTTAATCCCATAGAAAATCTGTGGAGGGAGTTGAAGGTTCGAGTTGCCAAACATCAGCTTGAAACCTTAATGACTTGGAGAGGATCTGCAAAGAAGAGTTGGACAAAATCCCTCCTGAGATGTGTGCAAACCTAGTGGCTAACTGCAAGAAATGTCTGACCTCTGTGATTGGCAACAAGGGTTTTGCCACCAAGTACAAAGTTGAAGGGGTCAAATACTTATTTCACTCATTGACATGCAAATAATTTTATAACTTTTTTGACATGTGTTTTTCTGGATTAGTTTTTTTGTTATTCTGTCTCTCACTGTTAAAATACACCTACCTTAAAAATGATAAACTGATCATTTCTTTGTCATTGGGCAAACGTTCAAAATCAGCAGGGGATCAAATACTTTTTTCCCTCACTGTACAGTTAGTTTTATTTACTTTGTTTTATTTTACATTCCTTGTCTCGTATTTATGCTTGAAATAATTCATGTTACACTGCAGAGGCATATTTGAGAGGACATTGCCTGGTGTTGAAGCAATACCCACTCATACCACTTTTTTATTTTCCACATGAATGCAAATGTCATGAAACATTAACCTATTTCATAGATTGCAAACTTCTTTTAGCAGATCCTGAACAAGAATATGTTGGCACTATATTATTAGCATTGTTTATATAGTGCCAAGATATTTACTTTATGCAAAGGGGATATTTAACGGCTGTAGAAGATCCGTCTCAATCAAACTTACAATCTATGAGGATTTGAGTTAGGTAGATAAACATTGTTAGGTACTTGCTCAGTAACAATTACTTGTGATGTGGTCTGACCGGATTCGAACCTACAGTAAGTTTCTAAGGCAGTGTTGTTACCACTGCTTTAACCCCTTCAGGACGGAGTCAATAGTACACGTTCTGTTCAAAACAAAATGTAAACAAAAACTGGAATTTGCGCTATATGTCTGTTCAACCGGAATTCACCTCTTTCATATTAAGTGCACCCACACTTATTATATATCGGTTTGTTCAGGAGAAACAGGGCTTTCATTTCATATCATATATTTATATATGAAACATAATTTATTATGAATAAAATAAAAAAAACTGTGAGAAATTTAAAAAAAATGTAAAATTTGTAGTTCCGCCTCACATTTTAGCTGTAAATGTCATAATACTGTTAGCTTTTACTGCAAAACAAGCACATATTTGGATTCAGAAATGTCTCATGAGTACAACAGTAGCCCCCATTAACAGTTTTTACGGTGTTTTGGAAAGTTAAAGGGTCAAATATAGCACATTCCATTTTTTATTTTTTTTCAAATTGAAATTTGCCAGGTTAGTAATGTTACCTTTGAGACTGTGTGGTAGCCCTGGAATGAGATTTACCCTCATGATGGCATACCATTTGCAAAAGTAGACTACCCAAAGTATTGCAAGTGGGGTATGCCCAGTCTTTTGTAGTAGCCACTTAGTCACAAACACTGGCCAAAGTTAACATTCATATGTGTTTTTGTGTGAAAAAAAGCAAAAAACAAATATTTGGCAAATGTTTGTGACGAAGTGGCTACTAAAAATTACTGGACAAACCCCATTTGCAATACCTTGGGTTGTCTAATTTTGCAAATGATATGCCATCATGGGGGTAATTCTTATTCCTGGGATACCATACGGTCTCAAAAGGCAACATAAGCAATCTGGCAAATTTCAATGTGAAAAAAATAAAATGCAAGCCTTATATTTGACTCTCTAACTTTCCAAAACATCATAAAAACTGTACACGGGGGGTACTGTTATACTTGGGAGAATTCACTGAACACACAATTAAGTGTTTTAAAACAGTAAAGCATATTACAACAATAATATCTTCAGTAAAAGTGCCGTTTGTGTGTGAAAAATGCAAAAAAACTTCACTTTTACTAAAAATATCATTGTTGTAATACAAGTTTCCATTCTGAAACACTAATATTTGTGTTCAGCGAAGTCTCCCGAGTAAAACAGTACCCACCATGTACAGGTTTTATGGTGTCTTGGAAAGTTACAAGGTTAAATATAGTGCTTGCAATTCAAATTCCCTGCACTTTCTGCCTGGGTTGTCAGGCATGTCAATCAAATTTTAATTAATTAAATCACATAATTATGTTAAAATATTACTTAAATATACACGTAGAATTTTAATATATATACATATATATGTATTTAAAGTCTACGTGTATAATTATGTAGTTATTTATGTAATTTTATATATTTATCTGTATTTTTATATTTTCGGTTATTTGTATTTTATATATAGATAGATATAGAATGTCATTCAAAGTGTATTTTGTTACCAATATATATATATATATAACAAAATACAGTTATAATGAAATTACATATGTATATATAATTTATTTTAATTTAAAAAAAATATTTTATTTATTTTATTATTTTATTTATTTAAAATTGTAATTATACGTATATGTATAAATATAAAATATATAGATGTATTATATATTATATATATATATCTTCTATATATGTAACATCATTCTAAGTGTATTTTAATACTAATATCTGTTATATTAACATTAAAATACACTATGTATGATGTTACATATATAAGATGTATATATATTTCCTGATTAAAGTCCCAAACGTGTACTGTAACGTTGAGCAGCTATTTTTAAAGATGGATATATAAAGTTTACAACTTTTAATTACTTATTGGAATCCAAGAGTGCTGGTCATCTCCTCTATTGGTATATATATATATACAGACAGTCCCCCTGCTGGTGGGAAGTATTACAAATGAAAAAAATAAACACGTTAAAATAAATTACAATTATTTATATATATAAATGCCGTCCCCATTTAAATGGACTTTAAAACCTTTGCGGTGGCATAGAACGCCGTAACTGCTTTCAGTCCCAGGAGCTTGGCGGTACTTACCTCCGCCGCGATCCTCTTCGGGAGGACTGCCTTACAGCCCAGACAGCCCTCCCACGGTAAATCGGGCCCCTGGGGGCCATGTGATCGCTCTCAAAGAGCAATCGCATGGCCCCCTATAGCTGGCTGTGGATCTGCCAGCAGGGGGACTGTCTGAGCTGTCAGACAGTCCCCCTGCTGGTGGGAAGTATTACAAATAAAAAAAATAAACATGTTAAAATAAATTACAAGTATTTATATATATATATAACATGGCCCCGGGGGCCCGATTTGCTTGGGGAGGGCTGTCTGGGCTGTCAGGCAGTCCTCCCAATGAGGATCGCGGCGGAGGTAAGTACTGCCAAGCTCCTGGGGCTGAAAGCAGTTACGGCATTCTATGCCACCACAACGGCTTTAAAGCCCATTTAAATGGGGACGGCATAGAATGCCGTTACGGCGTTAAGGGGTTAACTAGCCAACACATACAAATGATAAAATATAAACAATAAAATAAAATAATACATTAATATTATTAAGGCAAAATTAACAATTACAGTATAAATAATTCAATTCAGAATTGTCAGGAATTCAAAATTAATTCAAAGTAAATTTCAAATGTAAAGCCAAACTAACCAAACTAGAAGCATAGCCGAGTTATAGAATTTTTAAATTTCAGTTATTTTGGCCTTAAATTTGAAATACACTTAATTCTTAATAATTCTCACTTAAGTGAATATTCCTGCTAGACTGAGGAAGAAAATCACTTCATGATTTTATCCCCAGTGTGACATAACGCTTTTTTGTATTTTTATTTGACACATAGTTATAGTTAATAGGTTTACTGATGTTTCTGCTTTATCATTTGCTTGGTAATATTTCACAAATGAAAATAATGTTCTTTTCTATTGTTTAAAGTACTTTTCTGGGAACATTCTTGAAACAACATGAAATCCTTTGGAGACGGACATAATCTTGACCCGATATCAGACATCTTATTTCACATCAATACTGTTTTGTGTTATGTGCAAATTATTTGTAACTGTTTATAACATCATTCTCCAGTAGGGCTGAACTTTGTCTTTTATTAGACTCTGCTTGAATCTATTCACAGTTGTTTTTAACTATCAATTTTCTCTACCATCGGTTATACAGTTTGAAGTAAATGTGTTTTAATTTAGCACCACCGCTAGCAACTGCAGTGAATCATTGATTGTACTAGTATAGTATGAGAGATCCTTCAGTGGGAATTTATTTTCAGGGCTTTCCACGTTTTTTCTAGATGGTTGAAGCCACACTAAGGATAACATTTGAGAGGTGCCTGGGGTGAAATTCCTCCTCAACTTACTTTTTACAAAGGTTTTCAGTGCACTTAATGAGCTGAGAAGTCAAATTCAACTGGACCTAAATTCAAATTAAGTTAGAATTTGTGAGTTGTTATATGGAGAAAAGCTCAACTCGTGACTGGATGTCTTAGCAACAGTAAATGGCGATCATCCATACTTACCGTAATTTTCCTTTCCTGGTCATAGGCCATGGCAGCACAACAATGGGTTAGCTCCTCCCTATCCCTAATTAGACAGGAACAGAATTAAAATAGAGGTATAAATACCCCCTCCCACCACCACTCCCTCAGTCTTGTTTAACAGCAATATCCCAGGGCTGCCATGGCCTATGACCAGGAAAGGAAAATTACAGTAAGTATGGATACATTTTCATCTTTCCTGGCCTTATCCATGGCATGGATGATTTTTGTAGATAGACAGACAGACATCTCACCAGATCTAATGGAGAAGGATTGGGTTCTGCTTCATTTTAGGGAACCTCCGAATGAAGAGCTGGGAGAACTATCTCCTCATTGATGTGAAAAGCTGATACTACCTTAGGAAGAAATTCAGGAACAGTCCTCAAAATAACTCTGTCCTTGTGGAATACTGTAAAAGGTTCTTTGGTCGATAAGGCATGGAGCTCAGACACCCTTCTGCCTGAAGCTAAGGCCACCAATAGAACCGTCTTTATGGTGAGAAAGTGAGGAGAGATGGATTCTAGAGGTTCAAAAGGAGGACCACTCAAAGCTTTTAATACCAGGGGTAGATCCCATGGTGGAGCAAAAGGCTTGATAGGAGGCTTTATCTTTAATACTGCTGCCATAAATCTGGTCACATCCGTGTTTAAGGCCCATTTTTGATCTGTAAGGGCGGGAAGAGCCGAAATATGTACTTTCAGGGTATTGTAACTTAACCCCTTGTCGAGACCTAATTGCAGAAATTCCAGGATATCTTTAGTAGTGATCGTTTGAATATTTACTTGATTAGACATTGCCCAGGAGGAAAAGACATCCGAGATTCTGTAGTAAGTGGTAGACGTAGAGCGTCTTCTTGCTTGTAGCAGAGTCTCAATTACTGCCTGAGAAAAACCTTTACCTTTTAACCTTTCCCTTTCAATTTCCATGCCATCAGATTGAGGGAGGCAGGGTCTGGGTGGAGAACAGGACCTTGATGTAGAAGCGAAGGAATCTTTGGGAGTGCCAAGGGACTGCATTGCAAAGGCTCAATAGAAGGGGAAACCATGGTCTGCAAGGCCAAAAGGGAGCTATGAGAATGATGGATACCGTCTCTTGTCTCAACCGTCTCAGAAGTGGAAAGATGAGTGGTGTAGGAGGGAATGCGTAACCTAGGTGGAATTGCCAATCGCTTGATAGAGCATCTCTTCCTATGGCCAGAGGATTGATGTTCTTTGAGAAGAAGTTTCTTACTTTCCTGTTCTTGTTTGTTGCCATTAGGCCTATTTGTGGCATTCCCCATATTCGTGTAATTTTCTTGAATATTTTGTTTGACAGACTCCACTCTCCTGGGTCTAGTTCCACTCTGCTCAGGAAATCTGCTATGGAATTTTGGATTCCAGGAAGATGTACTGCTGATATGCCTGCTAGATGTTTCTGCGTAAAGGCCATCAGAGGCTTCATAATTGACATCATCTTCTGACTCCTCGTTCCTCCTTGATGATTTATGTTGGCGACCACAGTGGCATTGTCTGTTCTGATTTTGACCCACTTGAAGCATATAAGGGGGAGAAAATACTTTAGAGCTCTTAGTACTGCCATCAGTTCTAATAGGTTGGAGGGAGTCTCTGTTGCTGGAAAAAGCCATTTCCCTTGTATGAATTGGTCTTGCAGGTGAGCTCCCCATCCCCATTGGCTAGCATCTGTGGTTACAACAGTCCATGTGATGTTCCCCAAGGGGAATCCTCTAAACATTGACTTCTTTTGTAACCACCACATCAGTGATTTATGGACCTGAGGAGGAATCTTGATAGGCTGTCGTGGATTTCCTGTTCTGAACTGGAGGATGAAGTTCTTCTGGAATTTCCTCGTCCTTCATTGGGCCAGCCCTATGGTGGAGGACATTGAGCCTATAAGACTCATGCATTTCTCTGCTGAGGTAACATTGAATGCTTACATGTCTTTGACTTTCTTTATTAATTTTGTACCTCTTTCTGGAGACAGTTGCACCGTGCCTGCTAGTGTGTTGAATATGGCTCCCAAATATTTAATCTTCTGAGCTGGTTGTAATTGACTCTTTCTCTTGTTTATCTTCCATCCATGGAGACGTAGGAAACGCATAAAGATTTGCCCATGCGTCTGAAGGGTATCTTTGTCCTCCACCAAAATAAGGATGTCGTCCAGGTAATGGTAGATGGCTATGCCCTTTTTTCTGAGGCCTGCAATTAA